ATCCGTCTGATTCAAATGGCGCATCAAAACCAAGGTCTTGCGTCAACCGTCCGGAGTTCGTCTCGGTTTTTCTCCACCGAAGCTGACGAGGCAAGCGAGGGTCAGAGGCAGGATCCATTTCTTCAAACCCCATCTTCGGGTAATCACTATTTTCTTATATTTTTATTCTTAAAATTTTTTATACTTATTTGGGTTTCCTCTTTCTGTAGGGTTTTAGGGTTTTTGACTAAATTAATTTCAATCCCATATCGTATCATATGCATATATTATTGTTTTGTGTATAATATTCATTGATATGTCTGGTTTATAAGCAGACATATCAACGAATTGCTGTTACCTAGTACTGTAACTACCAATGCGGAGGCTGCTTCCTGAGGGAATACTTAGATATCGAAGAAAAGAGTTTATAAAATTATTGATTTTTGTTTTAAATTCTCTGGTCCAAGTAGAGGGGAAACTTCATACATTAAGTGCATTTTTGGTATACCACTCTGGATAATATAATGATCTCCCTACCAAACATTTAATGATTTTATTAGTGGTAATCTAATAGACCACCATTTTCTATTTTAACAATAATATCTCACTTTTGGAAATGTAAACTTCCAAGAACAAAATGCTGGTGAGTCAACAGTTGGCTTCTTTTAGTAGTCTCGATTGACATGGATTTCACCTGTACAAATGGACAACTTTATTCCGTTGAGGAACCGTTTATGAAACCCAACAAACAATAGCGACAAATTTTTATTTTGTATGATATATGCATGGCCTCTCAGTGTCTAAAACTGGATTTAAAAGATTTTTCGTCATCTGATCAGAAGTGGAATAGCAGAATATTTCATGTCAAGTATATCACCCCCATGCCCCAATTACTAGCTCTTAGTTTTGAATTTAAGGCCAAATTATACATCTAGTGACCTAAGTGAAAGATGGGGGACCAATCCGTAAATTGAAATTTCATATTTCTTGGGTCTTTGTACAGTGCCCAAACATCTGATTAACTTGAAAATAAATTGGTCTTTATTAAGTCGTGTGTGGAAGAAATTATAGCAACCCCAATACGTTCTATGGATTGCAATCCGTGGCATTTAAATGGAAAGATATGGCATCAATGCCTAATTAATAGAAGATATTCCCTTTCAAGATGTCTTGGTGGTGAAATGGTAAGACATGTGAGACACAAAATCTCATGCTAAAGGGCATGAAGGTTCGTGTCTGGTCTAGTTCAAATTTCATCTCTAATGGATTCCCCTAATAATTCAAATTTCATCTCTAATGTATATTTAAAAGGAGAGAGAAAAATAATAAACAGGTGAGAAGGAATAAGGAAAAGGAGCGAGAAAGAGGGAGATATATTCAATTATGGTGACTCACTACGTTTAAAAGAGCCTTTACATCTAGACGGTCCTCTCTACAATGTCTTACCTTTTTTATGTCATGTCAACTGGACATAAGTCTGGACATGTTACATTGTTTTGTAATTTTTCAAATCTTGTCTATTTTAACTCATTTGACAATCTTTTTAGTGCAATCTACACTAGTATTGAAAAAGATAATTATGTGCTTTTTATTTATTTTTTAAAAATTTACCCCTTCCCTACACGTGAGACTCGATCCAAGTCTGCTCTTCCCACTCGAGCTAGACCTTGATCTCATGAGGGAATATTATTGTTGGTACAATCAAATGATTTTTTTTTTTTTTTTAAACATGTATAAATGGTGCGTGCAAACATGGAATGACGTGGCTTGAAGGAAAAGAGGCCATGTTTAG